TTCTAAGCTTATTCCAGCTGCAGAACATACTGAAATCTGTCTCTCTCCCCCTACTAGACTATAAGTGGTCATAACCTATGACTGATTGAGCTTTGTAGAACTCCTAACCCATCCCTCTAGGCCCCTGGCAGTGTGCCCAGCACAGAATAAATACTTCAAAAAAATGAACTGCAAGGGTATGGTGTGAAATACAGTAGAGTGTTACTAAAAATGATTATTTTATTAGTGTTAATTTAAGGCTTGATTTTCAGAAATAAATGTTCAGAGAGTTTTAGAATAAAAATGTGTTGATACAAACAACCTATAAATTATACATTATGTTTCTGTATCTTAGTAACTTTTCAAAATGAGAAAGGATGAAAGAGAATGGGGGGAGGTAGGAATGAGTTTGCTAACTTAAATGCCTACATTCAAGTGAAAAATCTTCCTCTGTACATCTCAAGGTCTCTAAGGGAACTAGATGCAGCTTTAAAACAGTTACTGTGTTTCTAGCCAAAAACCTACTGACATTAAAGTATGCTAGAATAACAAGCAGTATCCCCTTCTCTTTATTCTGCCTGGCACAATGTGTTTGAAATGTGTTTGAAACACCAATGTGGTTGGGCTTTGTTTGAATACAGCCCTTGCATTATGCTTGTTAAAACTGATCCTTCCATGTGTTACATTAATCTTCGTTGTGGAAGAAAAATGCTACAGTGTATTTACTGCACAGATTTATTAGCACCTATCTCCCATTTTGTCTTGTGTCTCATTCTCCTCCAAGGTATTTAGTTGGGTGTCTGCTCTAACCTGGGACTTGGGGAGTCCCAGATGGGTGACCCCAGCTACTGCCCTCAAGATGCTCACTGCCACGCCTGCCTTAGAGGGGCAGCTCACCCATTTTCAGACTTGAGTCTCTGCAAAAGGAGCCAGTGCTGAAAAGCATTTATAATTATTTCTAGTAGTAGGATGACTGTTAATAATGTATTCAACAAAACCAAAAACAAGGTATGTCTTTTAAAAGATATGGTTTGAAGGATAAACTAAAAATCAATTTGAAAAGCACAATGTCAATAAAGGATGTTTCATACATCATATTAATAATTCTTGTTTATCAAGCCAAGCAGTATGGAAATGCTTTATGTACATTTGGTCATGGATCATTGTAATTGTCCTATACTTGTAAGTACCTGGTCAGAAAGGCACAGCCCATGAAGGTGGTTAGATCCTGGCCCAGTCTATCTAAAACATGAGGCCATGCTCTCGCCAACCATTCTGTATTGAATAGATCGCATTTACAACTTCCCCATTAAAAGGAAACCACACATTTGGCCAAGTAGAGAGAAACATTTACAAAGCCATGGCGGGGCTATCTGTCATGCCCTTATAGCCTGTGCTATCTCTCTGGGCCACACGATTCCTGCGGGTGGAGTAATGTGTCGGTTTTCCTGGCACAGGAAGGCACTCTGGTCAGGCGGGAGCAGTGGGGCGGGGGGGCGGGGGGAGTATGGAAGTCTATGGCACTAAGAGAACTCTTTTCTTTCCCAATGAACTAATCTATGGTCCGAAGCTAATTTATCACCCTCTTCCCCACTCCCCCCAGGACCTATTCAGTTTTATTGTCTACCAAATTGGAATAATAATTTCAGCCTTTGGAGAGAGATTCATTAATTCAGCAATTCATCAAGCATCTACCACGGGCGTCCGACCTTTGGGTGTCTCTGGGCCACACTGGAAGAAGAGTTGTCTTGGGTCACACATTAAATACATTGCCACATGTGATCACAGAAAAATCTCATGTTTTAAGTAAATTTACGATTTTGTGTTGGACCTCTTTCCCAGCTGCCCTGGGCTGCATGGACACCCCTGAAAGTGTCAGGGACACTTCAGACACTACAAATGCCATATTGTCAGTGTGGTACTGGCATAAGGATAGACATAAATATTAGTGGACTGATATGAGGAATTGAGAAATAGACTAGGTTTTTTTTTGTTTTTGTTTTTTTGTTTGTTTTTAACAACAAGGCAAAAAATCCATTGCAGAAAGGACAGTCTTTTTATAAATTGTGCCAAAACAGCTGGATATCCATTTGGGGCGAGAGGGGATGAACCTCGATCCATACCTCATGCCACCCATAAAAATGAATGGATCAGTGTACAAACTCAGCTGGCAAGGGACACAGGGGAACTTTTGGTAGTGATGGGAACATCCTGTATCTTTTTATTATATTAGCTACATGGGTGTATACATTTGTCAAAACCCACTAAAATATATACCCCAAATGGGTATACATTTATTGTGTAAAAATTACTATACCAGTAAAGTTGATTTTCAAAAAGAAATCATATTCTTTGGAATCATATACATTGGAAGATTCCAGTGAATGTTAGATAAAACCCAAATGCTTTACACTGTCCTGCAAAGTCCTAAGTGATCTGGGCCTGTCTACTTCTCTGACCCATCTTGCCTCCTCCCTTTGCTTTTGATGTTCCTTCTTCCTGGAATGCTGTTCTCCCAGGTTTAGGTGTGGCTGATTCCTAAAGCAGCCCAGTGCAGGGACTGCCTCCTCAGTGAAGTCCTCTCAGATTGCCTAACCACTCTATGCATTAGGGTGTGCTTTTCAAAGCAGGCATCATCAGTTGAAATTCCTATTTACATGGTATTTACTTATTGTCTGCTTTTCCCCATGAGAATATAATGTCCACATAACAGGAAAGATCTGTCTTCTCTTACTCTTCTTCTATCTCTAGGACTAAAATAGTGTCTGCCTAATAGTAGGTGTTCAATAATTACATTTGAATGAATAAAAAGGGTAAGGAATTCAGATTCTATGATGTAGACACTGCAGAAACATTAACGGTTGCTAAGTAAAGAAGTGGCACCATACACTTTGTGCTGTAGAATAGATAAGGGATTGGACTGGGGACTGGGGGAAGACTGGAGGCAGATCCTGTAGAAGGCTGCCATGCTGTTTCTGGTAGGAAGCCAGGAGGGCCTGAAATAAGGCTCTCTCGGAGCACACGGAAAGGATGAACAATCTAGCAGCATTCAAAAGGTGGAACCAACAACGTGTAATTACTGAAGTTCTGAGGGTATGAGGGCAACAGTCAAGTTGAGGATTAATACCCATGCACACCTGTGTATTCAGTGCCGCTCTGAACTGAAATAAGGACTCCAGGAAAGGTAGCATGTTTAGCAGATAAGATGAATGTGGTTTGGCAAAGCTGAGTTACCTTCAGAACATTCTGGCTGAGATGTCCAGCGGGCAGTCAGTAATACCAGTGTGAAGCCTAGAACAGAGTCCGGACTGGGAACACAGATGTCAGCGTTAGAAGACTGGAAGAGGTAATGAAGGCATGGGAATGGAACCTTAAGAAGAGATGAAGGTGAAAAGAAGAGGGCCAATGATGAAACTCGAGGGGCTGCCTAACTTGCAAGGACTGGGAAGAAGAGAAACTAGTAGAGAATAATGAGGGCAGTTACGGGGAGCAGAGTGTGGACGCCAGGGAGAGGGTTGGAGAAAGAACAGTTAGTAGTGGCAGTCCCCACAGAGATTTGGCAAGAAACTGAAAACTTGGCACTAGGAGTGACTGGTGACGTGAGCAAGCGCTGCTTCAATAAAGAGCAGGCAAAATACAGAACTGAGTAGTTTGAAGTAATTGGCAGGGGAGGAATTTAGGATAAAATACAGGTTTCTTTTTAAAAAGACAGTGGGAATTCATGCCTGCAAGTCTTAGTAAGAGAAAGGTGTCTTTGAGAACAGTAGGGACAACACTGGGCTAAGGTGCTTGATTTGAAAGCTGATGATGTCCATAGCATTGAGCAAAGCAGATACTGCACCAACCAGGCCATGATAACCAGATCACCAGTGGTCGCCAGTGACCTGGCTAGGGTTGGATATGGTTTCTTTAATTTGGCAATAACATGGTTGTATGCTTCTCTCCAGTAGTGCTCTGGCCTTCTGGGGGTAGGAGCCAAGACAATTAGTTTGATCATCATTGTATACTGTCAAAGTCATGGTGGCAGAGAACAAGGGGTGAGGATCCTGGGGATTGGGTCTAGACTGAGACAGAATTGGAGCATGAAGGTGGAGAGTGGGGAGGGAGATAGACACTGAGAAAAACAGGAGGTCTAGAAAGTCTAGTGAGAGGAGTAAGAGATCTGGAGGAATGGTAGGGTACAGTTAAAGGTAGTTATTTAGAACTTCAGAATGACTTAGAACTTCAGAATTTAGAATTTGGACAGATGAGAGATCTCAAGTGTGGCCGTATGATTAGTGGATGAAACGGAGGGTAGAGATGTAGGTGAAGGTTAGATCTTCGGACATGGAAGTGCTGCCACCCGTAATGTCACTGCGTACCTACTGATGTTCACCCCAGCGTCTGGGAGGCACAAGAAGAAACTAGGGAATTCGGTGAGTGATCAGGCATCCATAGGTAACAGTTACATGAGACAGACTTGGATGGCATGAAGCTCAAAAGAGCGTGGACAGCTGCATGACGGGGAACGGTATCCTGGAAGCCACAGTGGGGAGTTAGGAGAATGCCAGACTGATTCCCGCAGCGCCCGTCCCCACGCTGGCAGAGCTGTGACCCCTGAATCAGGCTGGGAGTTGTGTTCCCTGGAGGAGAATCAGCTCAGAAACACCCTGCGAAGAATCAGGGCACCTGTGATGAAGACAGGTGATGGGGTGGAAAGAGATCTTGTCGTGCTCAACAAAAGAAGCCCAAATCAGTTTTTGAACTTTCTGAAGTAATGTGACAAATTTAACATAAGAAATATATATGTGTGTATTCCTACTAATAGCTATATATATCAGCAGCAAAAATAATAGAGTTATTTGTTATGATGCCTGTGCAAAAAGTAACTTAACATTTGAAACATCTGATTTGAGTGCTGTCTAAAAATTATGTAGGTTTGTATTTCAGCTGGGTTTCTAACATTTTGTAAATAATATTTTTAAGGTGTGAATGCTAATATTTATGTATGTACAGTCTGTTTGTTTATTTGTTTTTAACAGGTTCTTAATCAAGAACCAACTCTACGGAACCAGCACAGGTTTGTCCCACGACCTGCTCTGAACAGCGTGCTGTCTGATAGAAGACTCCAGTGGCAAACCATCTCTGTTGCCTTACAGAGCAAGCAAAGAAGATGGATCGACTGAAGAGCCATCTGCCTGTGTGCTTTCTACCTTCTGTGCCCTGTTTAATCCTGGTATCCACTCTAGCGACTGCAAAGAGTGTGACTAACAGCACTTTAAATGGCACTGACATGGTCTGGGGCTTTATGCCCGTAATCATTGCCAGAACTGACCATATCATAGTCAAGGAAGGGAATAGTGCCTTGATTAATTGTAGTGTTGATGGCATCCCTAATCCACAGTTCAAGTGGTATAATTCCATTGGCAAGCTGCTGAAAGAAGAAGAGGATGAGAAGGAGAGAGGAGGAGGTAGGCTTGAAAGTCGGGTCAAATGTCATAAAATGTAAATGGACTGTCGAGCCAGCACCTGGAATGTAAGTTGTTCTTATTCAGGTCACTTAAAGATCTCATTTTGTCTTCACTCTGACGCAAGAGAGGGAAGAATATATCCTTAAGGATTCAAAGCAGTAATTAATTCATTTTTTTCACTCTGACTCAGACAACAAAGGGCAAACATCAGTCTTTTAAAAGGCCTCTTGGCATTTTCTAATTTATGAATACAAAATGTTATAGGGACGAATGTAAAATGGACTTTCCCTTCAGTATATGTTCCATCTGTATGAGGGAGTTTTATTTTGGTTCTGGTTCGCACAACTGGCTCGAATAAACAATGTAGCCGTTGTTTATCTTTAGATGTCAGTTTAATCCATGGACTGTGGATTTAAAGACCACACTTCTTAAAAGAAGTCTCTGTGCAAGTTCTCAGTCACTAACCAGAGATCTTTCGGTGCTCTTGGAGACCCGGCTGAAGTTTCCAGACTGTTGAGGCTGAGGCCCAGAGGGAGGAAGAATGCAATATCAAGAAATAACATGCTAATAAGAGGATGCTTGGTTTTTAATAAGTGAGTTTCTGACCCAAAAGTGTGAATCACCTACCTAAGCACTGAGCTTACCTAAAGGAGATTTCCAGCCAGAGAAGGGATTGGTTGAGTCACTGGGAGTCAGTACATTTCTTGTTTTAGGTGTGAGAATTGTCTGAAAATCCAAGCTTGCCCCATTTCCCTGAAGCTGTTAATGTACTTTCCCAAGCATTTCCTGTGAGATCGAGCAGGGGATTGGGGGCCAGGGAGTAAAAAGACCATTGTTGTGAAGTGGCAGCTTATTGGTTTCTGCCACCCTTTCATCCACATGTTCCTGCCCATCCTAAAGCCCATTAACCAGTGAACAATCCCCAGAAGAGTTTCTGCTCCCAGAAAACCCACATTTTCAACTTCTTTCCCTCGTTTTATCTTAATTGGTCTGAAGAAGGAAGAGAGGCTAGTGCTTCTGTCTCCTTAGGAGCAGAGTGAAGGTAGTTTTCTTGCAATTACATACTTGTTAACAGCTGTGCGCCTAATGGTTAAGGCAGCTCACAGTCTGAGGATTGCAGGGATTGGGTTTCTCTGTCGTGCTCTGATTTCATTGCTTGTAGTCGGCCATTCGAGGATGCACAACATAGAAAAGCTTCTTCCCTTTAATGAAGATATTATATACTGGGTGTCATGCATATGCTTCTCCCTTTAACCTGGAAGAGTGGAAAACTTTCCCTACCAGGTAAACTTAGGGGACCACAGAATATTTAAATTAGAGGGGACCGTAGGACGATGTACTACAAATCCATCCTTTACTCGGATTTTCCCAAGGTCCTGCTGCTATTAAGTGCTTATGACTAGAACCTTCACTGACAGTGGAAGGATGAGATGCCACCACCCCTAGCCCACATGTGGTTTCCATTCCTACAGTGCCCTCCTTCCCAACTACAAGGCAAAAGGCAGTGACATTACACTTGTGAAGCAGGACAGTAACCATGGTAACATAAACAACACTCAGGTACCTGTAATTCCCTAAGTCTTTCCGCAGGGCTGGGCCACTTCAAGGACTATCCAGATGACTGAATTGAGGGGAGTGAGGACCTTGGAGCAGAGGTTATCCTTGGGTATTGAAGGGTTGGGGCTGAGGCACAGAAGCCCTGAGGCCTAGAAAGAAAGAAAACAAGAAAGAAAACAGCATGGTATTGAGGCCCAAATTTCAGTTGCAACATCGTGAGTGCTGTCCTGAAGTAGTATTTTATTGCTTCAAAGAGATCATGTGATATCTTAATTGAAGAGGGCTTTATACTATTGACTCAGTCTTGGCAAGAGGAGCTTGCACCTTGCCTTCCTCATCTGTGTATTGGGAACTTGAACTAGATGGAAGTTACATTTGGCTCAATATTCTTTTGTTTGTGGCTGCTCAGGTGGTCTGGAAAAGCAGCCTGTCAGTGACCCCTGAACTTTGGTAGCTGCTGGGAAGCCTTTGGCACAGAGAACTACCTGCTCTGTCAGAACTCAGCACTGTCATCGTGTTTGTAGCCAGCAGCCTTGCTGATAAATCAGCTGGTTTTAAACCTCATGAGGAAGATGCACTATAGATTTTTGAAGAGAACTCCCAATACTAGTACTTGATGTTCTAGCTCAGCTTTTGCAATTACAATGCATAATAATAGTAATTTCAGAACATAAGTAACATGAGGCAGAATAAAAACACTGTGCCTAACAACCAAGCAAAACATAGGAAATAGAAGAAATGACACTCTTCATCATAAAATATGAGAATTTTAGTCCTAGAATGGCCTATTAGAGGACCCATAGTCTTTAATCCCTTGTTTCTAAAGGAGAAATGCCTATATTATAACACAGACATAGATTTTAGTTTTCAGGCCAATTGGCCAGAAATTTAAATAAAGCAATATTTCATTTATAACTCAACAAAGAGGTGATTGAATATAGTGAAAAATGATGCTAATATCCTGGAACGTTGCCTAGATACAGTAGAGTACTGTTACAATCAAACTAACAAAATGAATGTAATTTTCATTAACAACCACTACCATTGATTAAGCCCCTGGACCAAGTTACATGCATTATTTCTAATCTTTACAGTAAGCATGATGGTTAGGTATTATTAATGCTCATGTTTACAGATGAGACAGCGGGTGAATGGAGAGGAAATTACACAACCAGAGTGCAGCCAAGCTGGTATTTATTCTCTCTCTGTGCCCAACCAGCATCTGCTTGTCCCTCAGGTCTCAGTAGGGGAAAAATGTTGAAGACCATCTAACCCAGACTGAGTGAATGAGGGAAGCCCCCCTGGAGAGAAAAGGCATTGTAACCACCACCACACAGGTTGACAGTGTTAGGGTGCGTGCTGTAACGTGTGTGTACAGAAATGCATTCAGACCCCTAAGGAGTTGCTCCTGGAGCACACTACCATTCGCTTTGTGATTAGCTGGGAAGGGAACAATTTTGTGTTTATACTGAAAGAGTGAGATGGCTATTATTCAGGCCAGCCCTGCCAGCCCTAGAGAAAGGGGGCCATTTCCTGTCATCAGAGGGTGCTGCAGCTGCTTTGCCTTCTTCACTCCTGTTTGTCTCTTCAATTCCACAGGATTAGGAGAGGCCAGTGTGGAATCTATTTCTGGAGGAAGACTTTTTTTTCTTTGGTCATTCACTAAAGGACTTGTTTGGGGCGGTGCACCAACTATATTGCAAAAATAACTCAGATTTCAAATAACATGAATAACCACAAATGGCCACACAATGTGCTGGTTTCAATTTTCCTTTTGCTAGAGGTGAGTAGAAATAAATATGTACTTGTGAAAGTATTGTGAAAAAGTCCCAGTGATTTCAGGTACAAATTATCTGGTGCATTTTTGCTGTGACTTCTTACCCTAATTTTAAACCACTTAAATGCACACTAGCACCTTTATCAGATGATAAATAAGCATTTCAGGAAAGTCAGCTGGTATAATAGGCCTTTGTAAACTTGTCTCGCTTGTTAGCAATTAAGTTTAAAATCGCCCTGGAAGTTAGGTTTTAGACCTTTCTATGGATTTGTTTTCTGTACTCTTGTAGATTTCTGTCACCAAAGCTAATTAAGAATTGCCTTCGAAAGTAAACATGCACAGAGTACACTGAGCTGAACGCCACAAAGTCCGTAATTGTCACAACTGCTCCTCCAGCTTTGTGGAATTCATCATTATACATTTTGCATGTAGTTTATATCACTGTATTATTTTTATCTCTTTGCTTTTCAGATTTTTTTAATAGACTATGAATTGCCTTTTAACTACTTCTGCTAAGGACATCAACAAGTTGTGCCCACTGAGTTTTAAGGCTGTAGTGTACCCCTTCTCTAGTTGATATGTATGGAAGGAGGTCAGTTCCCACAGTGTTCCATGTAAATTGTCCTTGGCCTCTAAGATCAGCATGAAGTAATGTGTTAACATAAAAAATAACTTAACTGAACTCCCCTTTTAGATCATTAAATATTTGACACTTAAAAAAATCAATTTACCAAAAGGCATTAATCAAAAAATATATAATGAATATACTATTGGAAAGTCCAAAGAAGCACATGATAGTTTTTCTTTGAACAAGTTCCTTAATTTTTCTGAGCCACGGTTTGCTTATCTGTAAAATAGAGATAATTCTTTTTACTACCATGTGAGGTGGTCAGTATTAAATACACTATTGTATATTAAAAGCTTAATATAGTACCTGGAACATACCACACTATCACCAAATGACAACTGCTGTGATTAGCAATATTGTCCTATATCATCACAATCATAGATGCTAAACGCTTAACTCCGTTTCATAACACAATGTGTTTTGTAAAGAAAGGATCTCATTTTCTGGGTAATTTCTTATTCTCTACCTCAATTTCTCAACCTTTCAAATAAAATTTGATAAACACACAAAATTTGTACCCCTTAAATGTTATTTAAAATTTCAAAACAACGTGACTTGCCATGAAAGCAAGTTCGAGAACCGCGCCTCCTGCCCCTGCATCAGAGGCCCCTCTTTCCCAGCACTTCACTTCCCTGAGCTCAGGGCCCACTGATCTCCGGTATTCTGCCTCTGAAACAGCAGTGTGTGTGGAGATGACAAAGTATCCATATTATGCACAGGATGAACTTTACATTTGCTTCACCTAGTGACTGCAGGGATGCTATTACACTTCCTACCATGCACAGGATAGATCCCTACGGAGAATTATGCAATGCAAATTGTCAATGGTGCCCAAGTTGAGAAGACCTGGTCTAATCCAAAGAAGCACTCCTCAGCTAACTAAAGAATCATTGCAAAGTAGACCTTCAACCCCTAATGTATTTTGCTATAAAGTGGTTTAATTTATGGTGCTTTGATTCATTTTCCAAATTGAGTCTTATTAAGGGCCACCTTGGTAACAAAGCACCATTTATAGTGTTTCTTTAAGTGAGTTGTGCT